TCATCCTCCCTCTAGTCGTCGACTTTCTAGTCCCCTCTAACCCCTCACAGAATAGTTATATTGAAATCATGAATGTGGAGATACATAAAGGTCGGGTTGAACATTATCATAACATGAAAAAATATGTAAAGCCATTCCTACAGGTGATTAACTCAAGGCCAAAATCTTATCTGAGGAGATTACTCCAGATTACTAGGAGATCCGCTCAAGGGCTTTCTCCTTTCCTCAGCTAATTCATTTAAACAATCATAGTAACTTACTTCTTATAATATTTCTAGTCATTTTGTCTGAACACAGTAAGAGATATATTGATCTTAAAGATCGGCTCTTCCTGGGGACATCTCGCTACATATTCCAGACCACAGTCCTCAGGTCAGGTTAGTCTTTCCTAACCCCAGCAGAGTCCTTATTCAGTTACTTATTTTGGGTCATGACAGAGTTGGTTCCATGAGTTTGCTTTTATCATATGTATGGCACTTTGCTTGTTTCCTTTCTCTTATTATACTTGTGGCACTTAGCTTGTCTCCTTTCTATGCCAGGGTAGCTTATAGTTTGCCCTGAGTTCATCTGGTCATTTCTTCGGGACCCTGCTCTTGGAGTGCTAGTAACTAAGGGCAACTGAGGTTTAAGTCAAGTAAATATGGATTTCACTGTGTCACTGTTGTACCGTTGTTCATTGATTTGCTCGAGTGGGTGCCAGTAACATCTCCATTTGTCCCAGCCCTGAGATTTTAGCAGCCTCTCCTTATTTATCCTTTCCAACGCTGCCATATTGGAGGCTCTTTCAGGGTCAGGGGAATGAGACCTGTTATTATTACTGATTTTCGCATATCGAATATGCCACAGGTAGCTTGCCAGGCTCTGCTGTGTGGGCGGGATACTCTCGGTAGCTTGCCAGGTTCTCCGAGAGGGCCAGAGGTTTGGTGACGAGCTTGGACAAGCCTCATGCATGAAGGAACCGGCAGAGGAACAAAAGACTACTTCAAGAAATAAGAGAGGACACTAGAAAATGAAGATACATCCCCTGCTCATGGATAGGGAGGGTTAACATTATCAAAATGGCAGTACTCCCCAAAGCTCTATACAGATTTAATTTGGTCTCTGTCAGGATACCCATGACATTCTTCAAAGAAATAGACAAAACACTCCTGAAACTCATATGGAAAAATAAAGCCCCACAAATAGCTAAAGCAATCCTTGGAAAAAAGAAGTTGGGTGGCATCACTTTCCCCAACTTCAAATTTTACTACAAAGCAGTAGTAATTAAAACAGCATGGTACTGGGCTAGAAACAGACCTGCAGACCAATGGAATGGAGTTGAATATTCTGTCACAGATTCTCAAATATATGATCACTTCATCTTTGACAAAGGAGCAAGAAATGTGAAGTGGAATAAGGAAAGCCTCTTCAACAAGTGGTGCTGGGAAAACTGGACAGCTATTTACAAAAAATGAACTCTGACCTCTGTCTAATGCCAAGCACAAAAGTCAGGTCAAAGTGGATTAAAGACCTCGATATCAGACCTGAATCCATAACATACATGGAGGAAAATATAGGCAGAATCCTCCATGACATTGAAGCTAAAAGCATCTTTAAGGATGAAACACCTCTGACCAAGTAAGTGGAAATAAGCATAAATAAATGGGACTACATTAAACTAAGAAACCCCTGCACCTCAAAAGAAACAGTGACCAAAATCCAGAGAGAGCCCACGGAATGGGAAAGAAAATTTACCCAATATCCACATGATAATGGGTTAATATCCTTATTATATACAAGACACTAGTAGAATTATACGAGAAAAAATTAAAAAAAAACCTCCAACCCCATCAAAAAAAATGGGGAGGAGAAATGAACAGAAGCTTCCTCAAAAAAGAAATACAAATGACCAAAAGGCACATAAAAAAATGCTCTACATCACTAATCATCAGGGAGATGGAAATCAAAACAACAATGAGATATTACCTCACACCACAGAGACTGGCACACATCAAAATGAACAAAAACAACCAGTGCTGGTGCAGATGTGGGGAGAAAGGGACTCTCTTTCATTGTTGATGGCAATGTCCACTGGTCCAGTCTTTTGGAAAATAATATGGGCATTCCTTTAAAAACTAGAAATTGAGCTTCCATATGATCCATCAATACCACTTCTGAGAATATATCCCAAGGGTGGAAAAAAAGCACAGTAGAAATGACATCTGCACCTGTATGTTCATTGCAGCACTGTTTACACCAGTCAGTTCACACCAGCCAGTTCACAGCAGCCAGAATCTGGAAACAACCTGAGTGCCGGAGAACAGACGACTGGTTAAAGAAACTTTGGTACATGTACACAATGGTGTATGCAGCTGTTAGGAGAGATGAAGTCATAAAATTTGCTTAAAAGTGGATGGACTTTTAAGTCCATCATGCTAAGTGAAATGAGTCAGAAAGAGAGGGACAGGCATAGAATGATTGCACTCAAAATAACAGAAGACAGACACCCAAGGACAGTACAGACAGGGCCAGGAATATTGCTCCATGGTTGGTAGCCTGCCTCATAAGCTGGGGGAGAAGGCAGCTGGTATAGAGGAGGGAATCACTGGTTGGAGGGATAGTTCGGAATGGGAGATGTGTGCTGACAGTTGATAAAGGACCAAACATGATGGCCTCTCAGTATCTGTATTGCAAACCATAATGCACAAAAGTAGAGAGTCTTGGCGAAATTGTCTGCCATAGAAGCAGGGGGAGGGATGAGACTTTGGTGGTGGAAAATGTGCACTGGTGGAGGGATGGGTGATTGACCATTGTATGATTGAAATTCAAACATGAAAGCTCTATAACATTCTCACAGTGATTCAATTAAAAAAAAACCAAAAACACCTTATTTAGAAAATTTTAAAGAATGTTACTAAAGAAAGTGAATAGTTTCTGAGCACTGCTGATGTGATTCCCAAACCCCAAAATAAAACAAGATAAAATAAACTATCTACATCTTCAACACATATTCTACTTATGATATTATGCTACCACACATATAAAAAGTTTAAAACATTGTACATCCACTTCTCTATGAATTCTATAAACTATGGGTTTTCTAGTGATGTTTGGCTAGAATAGGAAGCAATTACCTTCTTCAACTGGTGCTGTGACTAGGACCAGCAGTCTTTTCTTATTTGGGGGGTGACTGTGTATGTTGATAGTTTGTTTTAATAGGCACTATTCCGTTGTGGAAGAGAAAAAATAAGCAAAAAATAAAATAATAAACAGGAAACCCACTACTGTGTTGTTCCTCACATGTTATAATGCTTGGATACTTCAATTACATTTTATCACTTTTAGAGACTTTAGACGTTTGCTATCAAGTGTTAACTCCAGATAGTTTCAGATGTAAAAGGAATGATGAGTAACTACATGCCCTCAGTCACAGTTTAACAATATAAAGTAAGGAGATAAGCTTCCTGTACTCTTACTCACACTCACATGGTTACTATTTCTGGTACTACTTTTCCCCCAGTTTCTGCACCCTGAACCCAGAGCCTTCACATATGCAGTGAAACACAGTCTTCACTATTGGCTACATCCCAGCTTTCTGTACTCTCAATTCCTTTGTGTAGGTTGTCATTTCCATCTCATGTAATTTTTCTGCTGTCTGAAGTGTTTCCTTTAACATTTCTTCTAGTGCAAATACGCAGCTGAAAGATTCCACCTTTTATATGTATGTGTAAATCTTTATCTCATCTACTTGTTTGAAGATAATTTTGTCAGTTATTAAATTTTAGGCTGACACTTTTCCCCTGTGCAAACATTACATAAGACATGCTTGTCCTATAAAATTATTATGAGAATTATGTATAAACAAAAGTGTACCATAGAATTTTATAAAATGAACCATGACAGGTATAAAAATAAAAACAAGCAAAATTTGTGTTCAGAGAGAGACTGAAAGCAAACAAAAACTTAATTTCTGCTTTTAAGTGAGAGTAAATTAATTACTTTTTTTCTGTTTGTTTATTGACTTCACTGTTTTGTAATATATGGCTTTTGTAATGAAAATAGTTTTATTTTATTGAAAAAGAACCAGATATCATAGGATAGATAGCTAAATGATCTCTAGTGAAAAGTCAGAATGGTGATTTCTCTGGAGGAAGTGTGGTGAATTTGTCTGAAGGGGTACCAGGACACTTTTGTGGGTAATGGTGGTGTTGGTGAAGTGAGTGCCCAGGGAGATCAGGACTAGTAAAGATTTCACCAGTTTCTTCACTGTTTGGACCCTGAGGTCCTGCCAGCATCAGCAAAGCAGCCATCAAGTTTCACCTGAGACATAATTTGGTTAACATGGTTTGGGAGTTGGTTCATGCCACCTAAATTTGGGGGTAGCTGTGATTCTCAGGCTGACGTGTGGTTATGTTCTTTGAAAGAAAAAGGAAGAATCAGTCTTAAATTCCACCCAAGTTCCAGGGGTTTGTCTAGCTAATAGAAAGGAATTTCAGGAGAAGAAAGATGAGGTGCAAAAAAGTTTTTCCAAGAAAATGAGATGCATCCAAGAAAGAATATGTATTGAGAGCGAGAGAGAGGCAGAGAGAGAGAGACAGAGAAAGAGATAAAGAGAAGAGACCGTCATAAGATAAAAAATATTGTTTCATACCCACAGTAGGGGATGCAGGTAATTCCAGAATGGAGTACTCCAAATTGACTTGTGAAACTGATTATTTACAGTCTTTTCTAAGCTGTCTTGAGGTTCTCCATGGAGATGAAGAGTAATTGCTAGGGCACTGTCAGGAGAAAAGATTTTGACCTCTGGTAGTCTCTTTAGTAACAGAATCTTAGCAGGGTCTTCATTCCTGCTTAATTTTCTGCTGATGCATTCCAGTCTACAAACCTGAACTCCATTGGGCAGGTGACGGGCTAAGTTGACCAAACATTTCTAGATTTCATGACTTCCTAAAGTTTATTGCCAAGAACACTTCCTATCTGCATGCTTGCATCAGTAAGAATGTTTTATATATCGGTGGGTTATAAAGATGCAGTGGCAGTATCGTAGCCAATGAGGTTTATCCGAGGCGCAATTATTGCTAATTGAAAACTTTCCCCAAAAAAAGTTAAAGCAAGATTTGTTTCTTTTAATTAAGGTATACAAATTTGCTTCAAAATTAAGAATTGAATCTAAATTAATTTGATTGAGGTGGGATGGTAACTAGATGAAGGTAAATGTAATACAAAAAATAGTAGAGATTGTAAAATTGATTGTGGAAGATGGTAGTAAACACTCAGGGGTTCATTCTACTTTTTGCTTGATTTGTGTAAATTTAGAGTGGAAACATAGAAGAAAATAGAATAAACTGTTATAGGAGAAAGTATATAGGTAGTTTGACTGGAAAGATTCCTTATTACTAGGAAAATTTTGCATGCAGTGTCTAGTGCCTGATGTTCTTTGACATTTGACCTTTATTGATTTTAATTTCACAAATGATTTAAACTAGATGTACAACAATCATTTGTTAATGGACAGAAAAATTTAGAAATTGGTTTCTCTTATATGCCTAACCCTGGAGATCACCCCTTTTAATGTTTTGGCAAAAATATCAGATTTTTTCATATATGTGTGTATATAGAAGGTTTATACAGTGTGTGTTAGCAGAACTGGCATTATTCTGCAACTTCCCTTTTGTTGCTCAAGCATTCTACTTGAAGATATTTATAAAGCAAAATAATCACAATTTAGAAGAAAAAGTTTGCAAGGAACATTAAAAGAACTTCTTTAAAAAATATAAGGCAAACTTCTCAACACTTCACCATTAAGTATGGTATTCTCTCATGGCACTTGTGGTTGCCTTCTACTAGATTAAGTAAGTTCTAATTATTTACAGCTTTTTATGTAAATTTATAAAGTCTTAAACTTTATAAATAAAGAATTGACTTTAAAAAATAGAGGCAAAAATCAAAACTAGAAAAGAAATATCCTTTCTTTTGAGGTTCCAACATTAGGCCAATTTTAGATCTTGAATATAGACATTAATCTGAATGTATAATTTTACATGAAACTAGTGTTTTTAACCAAAGGACACATACACACATCAAAAATCAAAGATCCAATAGCAGTGAGAATAACTCCATTAGGAATATCCTCTTTCTCTGGCTGCAGGCAGTTGTCCTACATGCCTTAGTAAGTTGATGGCCTTGGGTTCTGTGTCAAAGGGCCAGGTTTAAGGAATGACTCAGCAGAGCAATGGTCTGGGGGAACAGTAGGGAGGCTGCAGAAGGTTAGTGCTGTCAGGAGAAGCAGTCTTCTCAGTTGGCTAATCACTTTTTTATGATAATGAAAGTGTTTTTAGTTCCTCTTTGTTATATGCAAATAAACAGTGGGATTATGCCACACTCAGTGCAGAGGAGTACACACGTAAGATCACCAAGTAGTTTTTCCTTAATTTTGCTATCTCCTAGTCTGCTCTTTCTTTGTTTATTTGTTTGGGGAGTCCCATCTGGCTGTGCTCAGGGATCACTTCTGGCAGGACTAAAGGGACCACAATGTGATACCAGGGATTAAACTCTGGTTGCCCTCATGCAAGAAAAGCGCCTTATCCTTTGTACTCTCCGGTCGGAAAAAAATATTTGGAACTTGCTTACTTCATAATGGGACTCTGCTTTGTTGTCCCATGGAACGTTTATTAATTGTGCCCATTTCAAAAATGTGATTTTATGACATTGACCCTAATAAAAGATCAGAAAAGACTCAAGGATGAGAACTTATGCAAGGGAACAGTGAGTAGATAGGGTAACTGTAGTACAGAGCTGTCTCTGTTTATTCTGTTTTCTACAAGGCTTATGCTAAAGAGCTCACACAAGAACATCTTTTGGTTGATAGATGCATTTTCTCACTTGAGACCACTTGAGAATGTGTTTTGATGGTTCTAAAGGTCAGTTGCTGTGATACATGATAGGACTGATTAGATAAGTTGGACCTGGGATCATGTTATTCTACCCCAGTGCTAAAGCATAAAACCTCATGCACTCTCTTATACATCCACTTAATCTTCTAATTTACTCTTGGAGTTCTGAAATCAAACTGATGGTTACCTGTGAATGCTATGCACTGGCCTAGTGACTCCTTCAACTTGAGCCTATTCTTTGAGACAAAATCATGAACATGACCTAAAGTCACACTGGAAGGACTGGGATCCTTTCCTTCTCCAGAGTTCCCAGATCCTGTCATTGTCAACATCCATGAGAAACCCATTCTTGCCTCTCTCCCTCTCCTTGACTCTACCATCAGTCCTTTGTCCAGTTGATGCCATATATTGGCAGGTTCTCCCTTGGCTCTGCATGGACTCTGCCAGATTCCTTTAGAGACATCTTTCACCTTTCTCCCCAATTCAGATGGTTATGTTGCTTCCCCAGACTCTTTAGGATCTCAGGAAAATGCTTGGAATTGAAGGTCTGTCCTAGTGCCTACCCTTCATCTCTGCCCTCTCAATAACTACACCCCTATCTCTTAACACCTGCAATCCTGTCTTGTCCAAACTAAAATAGATCCCAGTGCTCAAGTTCAATTCTTCTATGCTCTCCTCCCCCATCAAGCCATTCTCCCTTACCTGGGGAGATTCTCTGTTGTCTTTTAATTTCTCTTTCAGAATGCCCTTGAGGGCTGAAGAGAGAATACAGTGAGTAGGGCACTTGCTTTGCATGTGGCCAACTTGGACATCTAAGAGTGAATGAATACTGCTAGGAGTGATCCCTGAGTGCAGAACATGGCTAGGTGTGACACCCCCCCAAAAACAAACAACAAACAAACAAAACCAAAAAAATTAAGTTTCTAAAGAATTTTAAAAATTATATCAATTAAAACTAAATTTTGAAAAAAGAAGGGAATGTGGATCCTCCTCTGAGAGATAGTGCAGCAGGTAAGGTGTTTGCCTTGCTTGCAGCTTATCAGGGTTCAATCCTCACCACCACTTTCACATAATGTCCCCTGAAGTCCACCAGGAGTCACCTCTGAGCATAACCAGATGTGTACTCCAAACAAACAAAAAACAAAAAAAGAGAAGCAAAAGCAAAAGGAATGCCCTTTTCATTATTCCCCCACCCAGACATAAGCACAGTCATCATTTGTGTGGATTCAGTGGGGCTTCACATCGGCACCCTTTTGCTGAGAAGCCTGGGATGTATACAGAGCCATGCCGTGTCATACAGCACTCCTCCAGAGTGCTGATCCTGTGGAACATTCTTTGTGAGACTGATCCTGTGGACCATCCTCTGTGATGCTCATAGGATCAGAGTCATTGTTTCAATATACAACACTAAACAGTTGTGAATATCTAGAATTTAAGTCCTTGGTAAGTCTAGCAAGACGACAGTGAACTTCAGTGAAACTTGACTCTCCCTTTTGGATGAATTTCTTTGCCCAGTGGGTCATGATCTCTAGCCATAGACTGATAAATTGTTCTCCATGGAAGATTGTATAAATAGAAACTGTCAAGAGAAACATGTGATAATAGCATTTTTACTATCTCTTCACCAGATTTCAAATTGTCATTAGTGTTCATTTCTACACATGCCTTAGTCCTGGCTCCTTATTAATATTTCAGTACCATTATTAATATGCATGTAGAGTATTTTCCCAAAGACTAGTTATATCACTGTGCTCTAAGGTAGGCACCCTGTTCTCCTTCCCTTTGATTTTTGATCCTTTAAATTTCTCAGATTTTTTCAAGTTCATCACTTCTTGTCGCTGGTGCCAGAACTGCCTGATGGCAGGCTAGTCACTTCTCACCAGAGATGTCAGAATGCCAGGCCATGCTTTGCAGACTCAGTTTTTATTTTTGTTTGAAGTGAGGCCCATGAGTGTTGGTGTTCTGATCAAAACAGGCTCTATACCAGTGTTATATGACTAGGGCCATATGGATTTATATGCACCCCATAATATTTGAAGGGGAAACATGGGTGCAATCACATTGGGGTGGGGGTTAGAGCATAAGACTAGGAGGCCAATTGGTAGAACAGCTTTGGAGTGAGTGAGCATAGGAAGGAAACAAGTTTGGAAGGGGGCCATGGGCAGAAAAATGTTGAGAAGCAACACAAGCCCCACCTCCCCACAGCACCATTCATGGACCCTCAATGTTGAGAAAGTGAACCAGAGAGAGTCAGTTTCTAATGTAAGCACCATGAGACAGAATGGGGTGTGTTGATACACTAAATGTGTCCATTATCCTGAGTTAGAGCCAAGTGAACTTTGTGTGTATAATATAAATGCTCCCCAAGTGCCCATCTAGCACATGTGAGCCACCTTCACATCCCAGCCAGCAGCCTTGCCTCGCAGCATCCTGGGGAGTCTGAAGATGAGAAATGATGGCTTCCCAAGTCAGGAAGGGAGCCTGCACTCGCTCCTCCCCACAGAGACCCACCTGCGTCATTCTTGCCTTTAGCTGCCGCTCTGCCAGATTGTGCCCTGTAGGACCTGAAGTCCCCCAAAGGGATCCCTCTTTCTCTTATGCATTGTCAAGGTCATGAGCTGAGGCATGACCAAATCATGAATTGAGAAATCTGAGCTTTTCCTGCTCTCTTTTTAAAACTCTGCTGAATACCTACCACATATAAGACTCCAAAGAAATGAAACCAAGCTATATCCAGCTGCCCTCCAGGAGTTTATAGGCCACCAAATCTGTGATAGAAGCATCCGCATCTCTGATGAGAATTTGGCAAGTGAGGCTCAGGACACCTCAGAGGAGTGGGGTGAAGATAGGTTCTCTGCAACTCACAGAGCCTAAACTGAATTTGGGAGCTGGGGGAAATTAAATTACAAATTTAATGACCATGTATTCTTGGACTATTGTTTTGAGTGTTGAGCCTCAAGAAATATTTCAGGTAATCCAGGGGCAGAAGGGTATGGCCAACTTTTCTCTTATGAATGGTTTCTTTGGTGTGTGCTGGACAGAGTTAGAAGACAGGAAGGCCAAAGGCCGGGGGTTTTGCCCCAAGGAAGATCTGATGAGTGTCTTGAGTCCAGACATGAGTAGTGAGGTAGGGAGGACAAAAAGGCTTTCAAAGGCATTACAGAGAAATCACTTGGATTTGGTGGTGTGGGGAAAGGGAACTTCCTGGTCTAGACAATGAGCACATACTTGGGGGAAAGAAGATGAATTCAGTTTTCTTCTTA